GCTGAGGAGGGAGATTTCCACAAACCCAGAGGGCGGGGGGGGGGGGGGGCCGAGGCCGCCCCATTCCCCCCCAACCTGGGAAAAAAAAACCAAACACAAACAAAAAAAAAAAAAAAAAAAAAAAAAAAGCACTAAGCATTGCTTGGCATGTACCAAATATGCAAATGTTACCTCTGAATTGCTACCTGGGGTGGGGGACAATGGCAGTAGCAATGGAAAGATAATGAGAAACCTTAGCCCTGAGTCTGTTTCCTAAGCAAATTTATTTGCTTATATTTGTATTTATGCTCTCTAGGACAGACATGGTGGTTCTGATTGCCTGGGAGATAGCCCAGATGCCTGCAGCCTCTCTGGCAGAACCTCTGGCTTTCCCTAGCAACCTACTTCCCCTGTTCTGTCACCATGTGGACAAACAATTGGTTCAGCATCTGGAGGCCAGAATGAAGTAAGTAATAACAGAAACAAAGTCAAAGACCCTTGTTCAAGCCCAATCTATGTTCTGTTAGTTGCTTCACTACTTCCTTCTTTTAAATGATGAGAATAAAGGATCATGTAGAAGTAGTTCTACACACTGACATTTACTGAGTAACCAGTCTTGATCAAGTCTTCAGCCAAACCTTTTAATTTATTCCAGGAGCTTTGGTCATTTATAGTGCTAAGCTATTTGAAGGCAAGAATTAATTTGAGAACCTGAATTCATTCATTCAACAAATACTTGAGGAATGACTATTGCATGATATAAGCATGAATAGCATGGTCATCTCTGCCTCAGAATTATTGCTAGAAAGAACCAGATACTAATCAAATTATATAAATACTTGTAAAGTAGAATTGTGCTTATAGTTAACACCCGTTCTCTCTATAGGTTTGCCTGGATCTAGTGATCTGTTTGTTCTGGAATACATGTATCTTGGAAGTTGAATCATCAGACACTAGCTGCATAGACTATGTTTACAGGGATCCAGAGAGTCTGAAGACATTTCTTACATCTTTACATATTGGAGAACCCTTCCCCAAACATTTTCATATCCTTTCTTCAAGAACCTAAATGATGTGCCTAAAAATAAGACATGGCATAGTAAGATAAAATTAAAGAGCTAAGAGAATGATGTGTTGTAACTTGCTTATAAGTTAGGGCCTATAATGAGGGCTATCTTCTGTGTGAGTGCTCCAGGAATTTTTTTTTTTTTTTTTCTTTTTTTAGACAGGTGGGAGTGCAGTGGCACCATCATGACTCACTGCAGCATTGACCTCCAGGATCAAGTGATCCTCCTGCCAGTCTTCTGAATAGCTGGGATTACAGATATGCGATGCCACACCCAGCTAATACTAAATTTTTTAATTTTTTTTAGAGACAAGGGTCTCCCTGTGTTGCCCAGGGTGGATTCCAGTGATTCCCCCTACTTGACCTCCCAAAGTGCTGGGATTACAGGCATGAAAAGAATGTCCTGATTATAAGGGACAAGGCCTTGTTGTAGCTAATACAAGTGTAACTTTAGAAATTGCTTTAATGTTGCCAATTTTTATAAAGAGAAAATAGCCTCAGCTGAGCTTAGAAGGTTGAATATATCTCCCTTGTAATAGAAAATGTTTGGTTTCATCCAGGTGCAGTGGCTCATGCCTGTAATCTTAGCACTTTGGGAGGCTGAGGCAAGTAAATCACCTGAGGTTAGGAATTTAAAACTAGCCTGGCCAACATAGTGAAACCCTGTCTCTACTAAAACACAAAAGTTAGCCGGTTGTGGCCTGTGCCTGCAAACCCAGCTACTCTGGAGACTGAGGCAGGAAAATTGCTTGAGCAGGGAAGGCGTAGGTTGCAGGGAGCTGAGATCACGCCACTGCGTTCGGGCCTGGGTGACAGAGCCAGATTCCACCTTAAAAAAAAAAAGTTTGGTTTCATTTTGACAAATAAGGTCATGCATTCATGAACAAATGCTGGAGTACTTTTCATGAAACAGGCACTGTTTTAGGTACTAGCGTGGACAGTAGTGAGCAACAAAGTCCCTGCTCTTTTGAAGTTCACATTCTGATTGGACAGGAACTGGCAGAAGATAACAAGTAGCGATAAATACTATGATTAAAAACAAAGCTAGGTAAGAAAGACTGCAGTAGAAGGGATTTTAGAGAGAGGCCTGTCAATAGGTTTCATTTATGCTGAAATGTTCTGAATGTGGAAAATGATGTGTTGATAAGAAGGTACAGCTATCTTTTAGGAGGCTTTTCCAAAATGCCTACACAACCGCTCTTCTCATCTCAAAGCCTTTGCTCCTTTGCTGCTCTCCTTCTCTGCTGATGATCTTGGATCATACTGCTGAGACAACAGACTGGAGCTCTACCATCTCCACCCCTTACTGACCCCGTGTCTTCGCCTGTTACAATCAACTTTCGGGTCAACATCCTCATTATGGATCCACGCTGTAAGACTTGGTCCATGCTACCAAGGAAATGGCACCGCCCCAGAGTCTGTAAGCAAACACAATAAGAAAAGCGAAGAAAAGAGGCAGGAACTGGGTTGCAAGGGAGCAGGAGGCAGTTGGACCAAGAAGGCAAAGGGTAATGCCACAGAGCGAGAACAGCTGCAAAAGCATGCCAGGCCAGTAAAGCAGACTGGGACTGGGGCCAAGGCAGATAGGGCTTTGCTGGAGAGGCTGGTACTGCCCCCCACAGGAAAGGAATGGAACCGACCGGAGACAGCCGAGAGGTCCCTGCGGGAGTCACGAGACCGAGCGTGAGCCGCTCCGTATACCGCGCATGCCCGTCGCCGTCAGGTTCCGGCTAAAGTGACCGGAAGTAACGGCCGGGCCAAGATGGCTGCAGAGGAGGAGGTCCTGAGTGCTGCGTCCATCCACACTGCGGCCATGGAGCGAGTTCTACCCATGCTGTTGGTGCGGGTCCCCGCCGAAGCTATGGGGCAGCTGGGCTCCCACGCGCAGCTGCACACACAGCAAGAGGTTCTGGGGAGCCTGACGGCTGCAGGCAGCCTCCAGGTGCTTTCTTTGGCGCCTGGCAGCCAGGGCGGGGGTCGCTGCTGCCTGGAGGGCCCCTTCTGGCAGTAAGTGCCGGGGAGAGCTGGGCAGTGGGGGGGAGTACGGAGCTGGCCGAGCCCCAAGGGATCACGCCGAGGTTTCCCTGCAGGTGTGGAGGTGGCGGGAGAGGGGTGACAGCCGCAAGAAACGCCCCAGAGGTGAGCCTAGTTTCCACTAAGAACCTTTCCCTCGACCTCAAGCGCTCTCCTTGTTGCATCCCGGCAGCCCGGCTCCCTTGTTCTGGGTGGGCGGAGACGGCATCCAGCTCCTCTGCCACCTGCGGCAAACCCGGAGAGGGTTCCAGCTGAGGCGCTGATTCCTTCTTTATTCAACACAGGTTGATTAACAGTGAGAGGGTCGAGTCCCATGCCCTTTTCTTTCTGTTAAAGATGACAGCTGAGGATCATCTCTAGTTTGAATCATCCTGATACCTTTTTCATGTCCTTGAAATAAATAGCGTTTTCCTTCAAATATAGTGCTCTTCTTCAAGAACAGAGTCCAGTTTGTCCCTTCACTTACTCAACAAATATGTGTGCCTGCTGTTACATAGGAGCAGTGCCTAAAAAGTTGAGTAAGACAGTTTCTTGTGAAGGGCGCATGTTTTGGGAAGACGGACATAATTACAGTAATGGGTTACGTTCTACTTCTGTAACTCTCGGTTCAGTACTTAAGACTTTACATCATAAAGTTTGGGAGTGCCTTCTTGGTGTTTTGAGTGGGCTTGTTTTTTAAAAAAGATAACTTCGCTGTTGCCCAGGCTGGAGTGCAGTAGCTCAGTCACGGGTCACGGCAGCCAGCCTCAACCTCCCGGGCTCAGCCTCCCGAGTAGCATAGCTAGAGCTACAGGTGTACGCCACCAGGCCTGGCTAATTTTTCTGTTTTTTGTAGATAGGAGGTCTCACTATGTTACCTAGGCTAGTCTCAAACTGCTGAGCTCAAGTGATCCTTCCGCCTCTGCCTGCCAAAGTGTTGGGATTACAGGCGTGAGCCAATGAGCCTGACCTGTTTTTTTTTTTTTTTAATAATTATTAATAAGTATTTTCAAAACTCTTTAAGATGAGTAGCCAAAAGATGTCTTATTCATCTTGGAATCTTCAGCTCTTCTAACAGTTCCTGACACTTAAAGATTAATTTGATAAATCAGTGAATGCTTAACCTCTTTTCGGTTTGTTTTCCCTACCCTGGATGTCTAGTTGCTAGGAAGAGGACTCTATTATTTATAAACTATTTAGAAACTATTATAAACTACAAACTATTTATAAACTAAGTTATTTATAAACTAACTTAGGGGAAGTTAGTTTATTTAGCAGTATCAAATGCCTATAATTGTGGCTCTGTAAAGAGGAATGGGGCAGAAAGAAAAGAAGTAGATATCATTAGGTGTTTGAGAACCCAGCAGAGAAGGTAAGACCCATATGAAAAAAAGGGGGCATTCATATGCTAGTTCATAAAATTTGAGTGGAGGAGGACCAAGAAAGGTCTTTTTAATTTTTTTATTTAAATTGAAGTTTAATTAAGTTAAAACATTTCACAGGGTGGCATGGTTAAAGTATTTAGAGTTACCTACTTTTTCAAAGTACATGGGTCTTTATATATCTTATTTACTGTATTGAGAATTTCCTGTCTTTCCATGTGGCAATATTGTCCCTATGCTAATGATGTCATAGTCCTCTTCCTTTTAAATATATCTTGGTTTAAGTTTTGTATATTTGACATTAGGTTTTCTACATTTATCAATGTGAACAGAAATGTCGATCTTTTTATCTAATAAGGATTTAATAGCACTTTAATAATATAGAATTGCTATAGTAGTATAAAATACGTAATAGTGTATAATATGTACTTTTAGTAGTTTTATTACTAATTGAATTAAATCATATGTGTGCCACAGTAGTTTTATACACTACTCCAGAAGTATAAAACGTACTGCTTCTGTAGAAAAAGCAACCTTTTTTAAAAAAAAATTTTTTTATTATTTTTTTAAGACGGGGTTTCACCATGTTGGTCAGGCTGGCCTTGAACTCCCGACCTCAGGTAATCCGCCCGCCTTGGCCTCCAAAGTGCTTGGATTACAGGCTTGAGCCACCACGCCCGGCCTAAAGCAACCTTCTTAAAGGATGAAATTTTATCAGCATGGTATAGCCTTACCTCTTTTCATTGCATTGTTTTCAGATTTGGGTCTTTTATTTGTAATATGTAATTTAATTTTAACGTTAAACTTGAAGCTGAAGCACCGTAAGTCTTGCCAGTGTTGTTTTGACATTACAGTTTAAGAATTCCATAACTGTGCTGTTGAGTAATGGTAATCATTAGCTACATGTGACTGTTAAAAAATTTGGTTCCTCAATTACTCCATGTTTCAAGTGTTGAGTAACTGCATGTGGCTGTTGACTACTGTGTTGGGCAGTGCTAATATAAAACATTTCCATCATAGAAGGTTCTATTGGGCAGAATTGTTCAAGATTTTGGAATCATCAGACTATAAGTACAAATCTCTTTTTAAAAGTCAAAACATTTAAGTTATCAAGAGCCTATTTTGTTGGTTATGCCACCTCATAAATAATACACATATTGTATTGTTGATACCTATCCTTGATCATGACAGTTTGTTTAAACATATTAGTTGGGATTAAAGATGAAAGAATAAAAGGAGCCATCATCTCTTGCTCTGAGCCTCACATTTTTGTTTTTTACCACCCACTCCTGTATTTTTCTGTTGGTGTAAAAGGGAAAGTGGGAAGAGGAGGGAGGTCCTAGAGCAGTTGACGTTCTCTTAAATTGAAGTGTAGAATGAATGTTACCAGGTCAACTAAACTGTTCTTTACTTATTCAGCCCTTTTACTCCCACTATTGTGGGTAAATATTATTGTGGATATAGAATATAATCTAAACTTTTTTCTAGCTTTATGTGGGAGGATTCTCGTAACAGCAGCACACCAACTGACAAGCCCAAACTGCTCGCTCTTGGTGAAAATTATGAACTGCTTATCTATGAATTTAATTTGAAAGATGGAAGATGTGATGCAGCCATTTTGTATAGCTATAGTGGGGAGGCATTGCAAAAGCTCATTGAAGATCAAGGTATCAGTAAGTATCTACAGGTAGTCTTTCAGCATATTTAAATATGTGACATTACCATGTGATGTGATATACTTCAGAAAAACTTCTCATAGAGGTGAAATCAGGTCTACACTGTTGGATATAGTAGCTGCTAGGCAGATGGGGCTATTGAGCACTTGAAATATGGTTAACATGAATTAAGATATACTTTGTGTCATATACATATTAGATTTTGAAGACTTAGTACTAAAGTAAAATATCTTGATGTTTTGTATTTCAATTACTTTTCAAAATATTGAAATATTTTGGATATAAGCCAAATAATGTATATTAAAATTAATTTCATTTGTTTCTTTTCAATGTGGCTACCAGAAAAGTTTATTTTTATTTATTTAATTTTGTTGTGACAGAGTCTCACTCTGTCACCCAGGCTGGAGTGTAGTGATGCCATCTCAGCTCACTGCAACTTCTGCCCTCCACAGTTCAAGCAATTCACCTGCCTCAGCCTCTCAAGTAGCTGGGATTACAGGTGCTTGTTACCACGCCCAGCTAATTTTTATATGTTTAGTAGAGACAGGATTTAGCCACATTGGCCAGGCTGCTCTCAAGCTTCTGATGACCTCAAGTGATCCACCCACCTGGGCCTCCCAAAGTGCTGGGATTACAGGCATGAGCCACCCCTGCCAGAAAATTTTAAATCATGTACGTGGCTCACATTATATTTCTATTGGGCAAGTGCTCATCTAGACTGCTTATTAGAGCTGTTGACTGCACAGAGCGGAAATCAAGCACTCAGGCCTCTATAAAAAAGGAAGTAATATATTCTTCATCCTTGATTATAAGGTTTTTTTCTTTGCTTTAAAAAGAAAAAAAGTGATTGTTCTTACGGGGTCCCATGGGTAAGTTGACTTTTTTGAATCTTCCTTCTGTCAGACTAGCTTAATCAGAACCAGGGATGTTGTAGCCCATCTTTATTCATCCTCTTACCCACCTTCCAGTGACCACTTGCTTAGGTGGGTATGAATGATAACTGCTTAGAGTTAAACTAAGTCCAGTTCCTTTTTTGTTTTACTTTTTGTGTTAGGTTTATAAAATCAAATGTACCAGTTGTAAAATTGTGACCAATGAGTTTGAAATAATATACTTTTGTTTTGTAGGTATTTCCTTATTGTCTTTGAGAATCCTGTCATTTTGCAATAACACATCATTACTGTTCATCAACAAATGTATTGTCCTGCATATTATATTTCCTGAAAGAGATGCTGCAATTAGAGTACTCAACTGTTTCACACTACCCTTGCCTATGCAGGCAGTGGACACAATTATTGACACACAGCTCTGCAAAGGAGTTCTTTTTGTTTTGAGTACCTTGGGCTGGATCTGTATCCTTGGTGGTAGAAGTGTTGATTGATATGTATGGGAGAAGAATACCTAGAAAGATGAGCCTTTTTAGGCTTTAGTTTTGGGGGCTTTGATATAGGGAGCATGGTTAGTTTTTCAGTAAAACTTTTCATGGAAAAAGATCCTCATAAACTTAAAATACTGAATTACATATTGCTTTATATTCTATTTGAATCTTTTCCAGTATATACAGTTTTTAATAGTCTTAATCATCTAAACATGTTTGTGTTCTTTTAAAATTGTATATTCTCTGTATTATCTATTCAAAATATATTTCTTGAATACTATGTGCTTATTCCAGGAAGGAATTAAATGACTGTTTATGGGGCCAGGTGCGGTGGCTCACACCTGTAATCCCAGCACTTTGGGAGGCTGTGGCAGGTGGATCACAAGGTCAGGAGTTTGAGACCACCCTGGCCAATATGGTGAAACCCCATCTGTACTAAAAATAAAAAAAATTAGCTGGGTGTGATGGCGCATGCCCCTAATCCCAGCTACTCAGGAGACTGAGGCAGGAGAATTGCTTCAACCCAGGAGGTGGAGGCTGCAGTGAGCCGAGATTGTGCCGCTGACCTCTAGCCTGGGTGACAGAGTAAGACTCTGTCAAAAAAAAAAAAAAAAAAAAAAAAAGGGCTGCTTATGTTGTGATACATATCTTTTCATGTATAAATATAACCTACCTCTTGTCTCTAATGATGATCCCATCATATTAATGAATGTTTGCTTAGCCATCGTTAATTTGATCTTGAAAAAGATTGCAGGTTCTTCATCTCCTGCAGATCTGTTGGTCATCAGCAAAATTATTCTGGAGATTTGACAAATTATGCCATATATGATTTTGGAACTTCAATTTTTGAATTTAAAAAATTCTCCTTTAATAAAGTGATTGTTCTTATGGGGTCCCATGGGTAAGTTGGCTTTTGAATCATTTTTTCTGGTGTACTATCAGACTAGCATAAACAGAACCAGGGACGTTGTAGGCCATCTTTCTTCATCCTCTTACCCACCTCCCAGTGACCAATTCCTTAGGTGGATATGAGTGATAACTGCTTAAACTAAGGCCAGTTCCTTTTTAGTTTTACATTTTGTGTTAGGTTTATAAAATCAAATGTAACAGTTATAAAATTGTGCCGGGCGCGGTGGCTCAAGCCTGTAATCCCAGCACTTTGGGAGGCCAAGGCGGGTGGATCACGAGGTCAAAAGATTGAGACCATCCTGGTCAACATGGTGAAACCCCGTCTCTACTAAAAATACAAAAAATTAGCTGGGCATGGTGGTGCGTGCCTGTAATCCCAGCTACTCAGGAGGCTGAGGCAGGAGAATTGCCTGAACCCAGGAGGCGGAGGTTGCGGTGAGCCGAGATCGTGCCATTGCACTCCAGCCTGGGTAACATGAGTGAAACTCTGTCTCAAAAAAAAAAATAAATAAATAAATAAGTAAAATAAAATAAAATAAAATTGTGACAGTGAGTTTGAAATAATATACTTTTATTTTGTAGGTATTTCCTTATTGTCTTTGAGAATCCTGTCATTTCATAATAACAAATCATTATTGTTCATTGACAAATGTATTGTCCTGCATATTTCCTGAAAGAGATGCTACAAATAGAGTACTCAACTGTTTTCACACTACCCTTGTATATAATTTTTACAAAAAATGTTAGAAATACTAGATTAACAATTTTTGTTGCCAAATTATAGAACTGCATTGTCTGAAACAATAGGTACTAAGCGTATGTGGCTATTGAATTCTTAATTTTGTTTAACTAGATTTTTTTTTTTTGTTCTCCTGAGACAGAGTCTCACTCTGTCACCCAGGTTGGAGTGCAGAGGCATTATCTCGGCTCACTGCAACCACTGCCTCCTGGGCTCAAGCAATTCTCATGCCTCAGCCTCCCGAGTAGCTGGGATTACAGGCACTATAGTCCCAGCTACTCAGGAGGCTGAGGCAAGAGAATGACTGAACTGAGCATCAGCTTTTAAATCTAAAGTAATACAAATTTACTAATCTAAAATAAAAATGTACTTTAGATTTAAAAGCTGATGCTCAGTTCAGTCATTGGAGAACTTTTAGGGATGTTACACCTTTAGTTGTTCCAACTGTCAACTATAAATTTTATGAAGTATCAATACGGATCAGGTATTAGTATCCAACTTAAGATGTACCATAAGTGTAAAATACCAGACTTTGAGCATTTATACAAGAAAAAACATAAAATGTCTCCATTTTTATATTGGCTGCATGTTGATAATACTTTGGATAGACAGTATTGGGTTCCATTAAATATATTAGGTTTACCTCATCTCTTGGCCAGCGCTGTTAGAAAATAGCAGTGTCTCTGGGCCTGGCCCAGAGTAGATGGTTAGCAGATATTGTTGAAGAACTTGGTATCAGGTTCTTTATTGTGCCACTAACTTCATAGTCACCTGGTTGTGATGATGGGGGCTTGCCTCAACTTTGAGTCTTTCTTCTGTTACACCTACAAAATTAGAATGATAAAGTCTATATCTCTATCCCAACCTGTGCTTTAACTGGTTAGGCATACTTACAAAACTGGCATTTTCTTTAAATCTAACTCAAAGACATTTTTCACGTTGTGGATGGTACATGTGTAGCTCATGTGGATTTAACACTTCATGAAGAAGATACGTGTAATGAGCACCAGCAGGAGCCAGCCAAGATTTTTACTTCACTGAAAGTGTCTCAAGACCTTGATGTTGTAGTGATTGTGAGCTCCTCCAACTCCGCAATTGCTGTTAACTTAAATTTATATTTCAGGTATGTAGATGACTGCAGTTTTTAATTTGAGGTAAATAATTAGAGCCATAAGAAGATAAAAATATACTTGCTAATTTTTTTTAACTAGTGTTTCTTTTTCTATTCAGATAGATCATGTTCTAGCCACTACATTTTAATTACTGAATAATGTATAAATGAGCACTGGCACCTTTATATTTCTGCATGTACATCAGAGTTTTGATTTTGACTTACATGTTATCATACATGAGTTATGTCATATAAATAATCAAAATTACGCAATTTTAAGCCACAGTTTAGCACTAAATTGTATAGACCTATTATTTCCCTAATTTTCTCATGTTTCCCATATTGTTTATAAGCTCCTTGAGAACCTGAATTCGTGATTTATTCTTTAAATTCATTGTCAATGACTTTTTCTTTCAGTTTACCTTAGCTTTCCTCTTCCACAGCCATACCCTAGGCTTTGTCAGTATTTGAAGTTGCCCCTCCCCCAGGTCACTACTTTTCACATCTCTGACCACAACTTCCAAACTTTCCAGCTTGCCTACTCAAGTACTCCCACTTCACTTGACGTCTGACCTCACTGGAATTTCCAGTTAATTCATTGACCTTCCATTCTTTATCCTCCTCCTGTTTTCACTTCCCTCTCTTTCCAGCATAGATTCTGTGATCCATCATACCAGTTACTTACTTGCATGTACTGTAAACTCTTGCTCCTGCCCTGTGATAACACTTGGTCTGGAAAAATTTCAACCCTCATTGAAATCTTTTTTCCTGCCTTCATGGTGTCTACAGTCAAGCAGCTAAGCACTTGTAGAAAACAACAAAAGAAAATTGATACCACTCTCGAAGTTGACATTTAGTACCTTTAACTGGTCTTAATGTTGCCTGGAAGTCTTACAGGGATTTTTCATTAGCCCATTCTTTACAACAGTGTTTTTAAACTTTCTCTAGTTTCCTCCTACCTCTGTTAATCTCTTTATTCACAACTTTTCATGGGTGACCTTGCCTCCTATGAAGGCCCATCCCTATGTGTGTGCTCTAGATCCCATTCCTTCCATCCTTCTTAAGGACCTTCCTCCATTTTTCCTCTTTTCTGTATGGTAGTCACCTTTATCCACAGTTAAACTTTCTCATGATCAGTTGTGGTCCAGAAATATTATATACACTAAGATATTTTAAGAAAGACAAAAGAAAAAATTACATTCACATAACTTGTATTACAGTATATTGTTGTAATTGTCCTATTATTATTAATCCTTTACTTTGCCAAATAAAAATTAAAGTTAAACTTCATTATAGCTATGTATGCATAGGAAAAAACAGTACAGTTGACCCTTGAACAACTCAGGAATGCCAACCTCCTGCTCAGTCAAAATGCCACATATAACTTTTGACTCCCTCAAAACTTAGCTGGTAATAACCTACTGTTGACCAGAAACCTTACTGATAACATGAACAGTTGATTAACATATATTTTGTATGTTGTATGTATTATATATATATATATACTGTATTCTTACAATATATGTATGATATGTTATATATACATATATATAATTTTGTATATGTATCATATATATAACATTTTGTATGTTATATGTATTATATATATGTATTGTATTCTTAGAATAAAGTAAGCTAGAGAAAAAATATTAAGAAAATTTTAAGGAAAATACATTTGTAATACTATACTGTATTCATAGATACTCTAAATTTACATAATCTGTTTACAAAATGAGTCATCTGTCTGAAAAGACAAGCAACCTCAGCAGCATACCTCAACCCATGGTATATGTCAGGCAATTCATGTTTTTCTTACAATGTCATGACTTCTTGAGAGCACTTCCAGCATTTCATATGGGTCCCCTGGTGTTATTCAAGGTTATAGTATGGCACGAAACATGAAAAATAGATGAGAACCATAAGAAATCACTTTTTAAAAATTGTTATTTTATTATTATTTTAGAGACACGATCTAGCTATGTTGCCCAGGCTGGACTCAGACTCCTGGGCCCAAGCAGTCCTCTAGCTCAGCCTCCCAAATAGCTGGTACTATACATTCACGCCACCGTGCCTGCTAGAAAGATCACTTTGTACAGTGATACACAATTTACTGGAGAGGAGCTGCTCACACAGAGATTATTAGCATCACATGGCATTTTAAGCAGATACTTAACAACACTAGGGCTCACTGCAATAGCAACACGAAGTGGCTATGAGATTATTACAGTAGTATGGTATATACTACAGCTAATTATATGCAGTTTTGATTTAATACTACATCTTTTGTTTACATTTTCTTTGGCTTCAAATGGTATCATGTATAGTCTGTAAGTGTGTACATAGGTTTTGATAAATGTTTATGATAAATTTGTGCTTTTTTTTTTTTTTCTTTTGAGATGGAGTCTTGCTCTACTATCCAGGCTGGAGCGCAGTGTTGTAGTCTTGGCTCACTGCAGACTCTGTTTCCTGTGTTCAAGTGATTGTCCAGTCTCAGCCTCCTAAGTATCTGGGATTAGAGGTGTGTTACCTTGCCCAACTAATTTTTGTGTTTTTAGTAGAAACAGGGTTTTGTCATGTTGGCCAGCCTGGTCTTGAACTCCTGACCTCAAGTGATCCTCCTGCCTCTCAGCCTCCCACAGTGCTGGAATTGCAGATGTGAGCCACCATGCCTGGCTGATTTGTATATAATTTATGGTAGTAAATGATAAAATAGAGTAGTATCTACGTAACTTTTATGCATTTATGACATACCTGACTTAATCTTGATTTTTAAAATATTTCTGGGCCAAGGTGGGCATGGTAGTACATGCCTATAGTCTCAGCTACCCTGGAGGCTGGGGCAGGAGGATTGCTTGAGCCCAGGAGATCAAGGCTACAGTGAGCTGTCACTGCAGCACTGCACTCCAGCCTGGGCAACAGAGCAAGACCCTGTCTGAAAAAATACATATTTCTAGGCTACATGGTTCATTTGTGAGTTTTAACGAATTGTCATAAATCTCCAAAATTTTTTAAAATATGTTTTTGGGAAAGAAAACATCACATAAGTGGACCCATGGAGTTCAAATCTGGTATTCAGGGGTATAAATAGGCTTTCATACTATCTGCAGTTTTAGGCACCCACATGTGCCTTGAATGTATCCGCTGTGGATAAGGCGGAACTACTCTTTCTCCAACTTATTTTTGGTATTCAGTCCACATCCAGTTAATCATCAGGTCCTAACCATTCTGTCTCCCAAATGGTTCTTTAGTTTGTCTACTTTTCTCAACTCTATCACTTTATGCCACCATCGTCTTTTAATTGAACTACTTTAATAGTCTCCTAATTCATATCCCCATGCCTGTTTCTTAGCCCCTCAAATCCATTCTCCATGGAGTAGCTGGAGGGATGTTGTTAAAATGCATATTTTATCAGAGGTGTAGCCAGGCATTAACATCTGGGGCAGGTGTATCTATTATTTTGTTGGTTGAGGAACTATTTTCTCTTGCGTCTTTTCATTTTCACCCTACCTTCTCTAACTTTTTTATCATCATCCTGACAATGTCATATGGTTGTGCCAACATATTACCTTCAAGTTGTTTAAGGGATTAATATTTAATAATATAAGTGCTCGAGGAGATAAAATCCTTTCCCCTTCTTCCCTAGCTACTCTTCTGCATCTGATCATACTGCTTTTCTGCTTAAAAGCCTTCTTCAAGTTGCTTTTCCCCCTTAGATAAAAGTTGAAAATTCTTAATAGCCTATGGGGCTCTGAACCATCTTTTTAGCCTCATCCCATTTCATCTTACTTCTCATTTTCTATACTGTAGTCATCCTAGCCCTGTTTCTCAAATGTAACAGCCCCCTTTTCCACATACGCCCTCCCACCTGTACCCACACACATACTTTACCTTCTAGTTCTTCTGCATTCTTCTGGTCTCAGTTTAAATCTTACTTTGTGGTGGCCGTATAATGAGTTGCTCATGCCTGTAATTCCAGCACTTTGGGTGGCCAAGGCAGGCAGATCACTTGAGGTCAGGAGTTTGAGACTAGCTTGGCCAATATATGGTGAAACCCTGTCTCTACTAAAATATAAAAATTAGCCAAGCATGGTGATGTGCACCTGTAGTCCCAGCTGCTCAGGAGGCTAAGGCAGGAGAATTGTTTGGACCCTGGAGGTGGAGATGGCAGTGAGCCAAGATTGCACCACTGCACTCCACCTAGCCTGAATGACAGAGTGAGACTCTTTCTAAAAAAAAAAAAAAAAAAAAAAATCTCTACTTAGTGGTTACATTAGTCTGTTTCAAAGTTTTTCTGGAGCCGGGCGCAGTGGCTCAAGCCTGTAATCCCAGCACTTTGGGAGGCCGAGGCGGGTGGATCACGAGGTCAAGAGATCGAGACCATCCTGGTCAACATGGTGAAACCCCGTCTCTACTAAAACTACAAAAAATTAGCTGGGCATGGTGGCGCGTGCCTGTAATCCCAGCTACTCAGGAGGCTGAGGCAGGAGAATTGCCTGAACCCAGGAGACGGAGGTTGCGGTGAGCCGAGATCGCGCCATTGCACTCCAGCCTGGGTAGCAAGAGTGAAACTCCGTCTCAAAAAACAAAAAAAAAAAAAAGTTTTTCTGAACCTTAGTTTCCATATCTATAAGATACGGTTATATTTACCTCACAGTGTTGTTGAGAGGCTTAAATAAGTTTGTGTGAAGTGTTTAGCGTAACATCTCAAATATAGTAGATAGTAAGTATTCTTACTGCTTTATTAAGCTAACTGCCCTTAATAGAATAAAATTCTTATGGTTGGCTTTATTACTGTGGCATAAGCAAAGGAGATAAGAAGTTCCTTTCTGGGGAATTTGTTGTCCATACTGTTCCTTCTCTGTGATCTTTTAATTTTAATAGGAGCAATAGTAACACAAATTTGGGTTTGATCATCATTTTTTCATATGGCTATCATTATTTTTAAATGTAGGCAACACCCAGGACACCTACTGTGTGAAAGAACACTAGAAGACCTTCCTATTCAAGGACCTAAGGGGATAGATGAAGATGATCCTGTTAGCTCTGCCTACAGCATGAAACAGACCAAGTTTTCCTTCCAAATTGATAGGTACAGAAACATTCTTTTCATTTAGTTTATTGTTCCAATTTTTTATCAGGCTGACACTGTACCCTTTCATTAAAGGTCTTTATTTGGTAGATACTTTTTTTCTTAAGAACATCTGTGCACTGGTTTAGTGTTTTACATAGTGCCTTTTACTGTAATAGGTGTTAAGTTATATTTTACCCTGTCTTCCAGGCCTTTTACTGTAATAGGTGTTAAGTTATATTTTATCCTGTCTTCCAGGCCTTTTACTGTAATAGCTGTTAAGTTATATTTTACCCTGTCTTCCAGGTCTTGGAAAGCCCAGCTATCATCATTGAATGAAACAATAAAGAACTCCAGACTGAAGGTTTCCTGTTGTGTTCCGTGGTTCAGGGATATTTTGCATTTGGAGTCACCTGAATCTGGTAACCACAGTACCAGTGTGACAAGCTGGGCATTCATTCCACAGGACATAATGCACGGGCAATATAATTTTCCACAGAAAGATCATGCCAAGACCAGTGATCCAGGAAGACCATGGAAGATAATGCACATCAGTGAACAAGAGGAACCCTTAGAGCTTAAATGTGTGTCTGTGACAGGATTCACTGCATTGTTTACTTGGAAAGTGGAAAGGATGGGCTGTACTATTGCCCTCTGGGATTTGGAGACCCAGAGCATGCAGTGTTTTTCCCTTGGCAGAAAGTGTATTCCTATAGACAGTAGTGGAGACCAGCAACTGTGCTTTGTATTGACAGGTGAGACTGTCTTGTATCAGATTGAAATCCATTGCTGAGATCTGTGCTTTCCTTGCATTTTACTTCTGCCCCAGTGTCTGCTCTCATGTTTAAGTGGTATTATAATTATTTATAGGGGTTGTTATTCTTGGTAATAGTGTATCATATGTTTGACTTTTAATTAAGGTCATTTCTGCTCAGCTGAATAGTAAGATACTAACAGAAAGTTTGAGAGAAATGAAGTTTGCTTATTTTCAACCCAAAGAGTCTTCATTTGACTTCACAAGCCGAGGCTTACATGGGCCACGTATGAACTGCGTATTTATTTTGCGTGGCTTGCACTGTCTAGGCTTTTAAAAAAGATATTCAGAGTTAGGAGGTTTCATACAAATTCTAACTTTCAGCTGTTACTGAAAAATTCTAAGCTCTGGCAACACTGGGCCGGCATTCCTGCATAGTAACTTATGGGTTGGAGCTGAGTTTCAATCATTCTCTTAGATGGGCCATTTTATTTCTCTTTTTTTTAAATTTACTTTTTTTTTGGACAGAATCTTACTCTCACCCATGCTGGAGTGGTGGTGCAATCTTGGCTCACTGCAACCTCTGCCTCCCTCTGGAGTAGCTAGAACTACAGGCATGCACAACCACGCCCAGCTAATTTTTATATTTTTAGTACAGACAAGGTCTCGTTATGTTGGTCAGGCTGGTCTCAAACTCCTGACCTCAAATAATCCATCTATCTCAGCCTTCCACAGTGCTGGGATTACACATCACGTGAGCGATGCGCCTGGCTGTACTTTATTTTTTAATAGAGATGAGGTCTCACTACCTTGCCTTGGCTGGTCTCAAATTCCTGAGCTCCAGTGATCCTCCTGCCTCAGCCTCCCAAAGTGTTAGAATTACAGGCGTGAGCCACTGTGTCTGGCCTGGGCCGTTTTATTTCTGATTAGGTTTTTCTTGCACCTGTCTCACTACCTACTTGGCCCCTGTAGACATGGGACATTTTGATATTTCAGGTATGCATTCATTCAGCACATAATTTATCTTCTACAAAGGTATTGAATGTTGTGATTAGACTTAACCATGTGTTTATTCTATACCCAAGTTTTGGTTATCACATTTTTCTATGTGTCAGGAATATGCTATCAATTATTTTATTTTATAATAGTAAACCAGTAATCTGATATCTCTAAATAATTAAAGGTTCCAGGATTGATTATGCAAGATAATATATAATATAAATGTGGGATTTAGTGCGTTTTTTTTTTTTTTTTTTTTTTTTTTTTTTTTTGATAGAGTCTTTGTCACCCGAGCTGGAGTACAATGGCGTGATGTTGGCTCACTGCAGCCTCTGCCTCCCGGGTTTAAGCAGTTCTCCTGCCTGAGCCTCCCAAGTAGCTGGGATTACAGGGACCCACCACAACACCCAATGATTTTTTGTGTGTGTGTTTTTGGTTAAGACAAGGTTTCACCATGTTGGCAAGGCTGGTCTTGAACTCCTGACCTCAGGTGATCTGCCCACCTCAGCCTACCAAAGTGCTGAGATTACAGGCATGAGCCACCACGCCCGACCAATTTAGTGGTATTTCGTAAGATGCATTGCTCTCATAGGAATTTGCCTTGTGGTCAGTGTTGTAAAGACAAATTTTTGGCCAGGCGCGGTGGCTCACACCTACAATCCCAACACTTGGGGAGGCTGAAGTGGGCACATCATGAGGTCGGGAGATCGAGACCATCCTGGCCAACATGGTGAAACCCCATCTCTACTAAAAATAAAAAATTAGCTGGGCATGGTGGTGCACACTTGTAATACCAGCTACTTGGGAGGCTGAGGCAGGAGAACCTCTTGAACCTGGGAGGCGGAGGTTGCAGTGAGCCAAGATTGCACCACTGCACTCCGGCCTGGTAACAGAGCAAGACTCCATCTCAAAAAAAAAAAAAAAAAAAGGGCCGGGCGCGGTGGCTCAAGCCTGTAATCCCAGCACTTTGGGAGGCCGAGGCGGGTGGATCACGAGGTCAAGAGATCGAGACCATCCTGGTCAACATGGTGAAACCCCGTCTCTACCATAATATAAAAAATTAGCTGGGCATGGTGGTGCGTGCCTGTAATCCCAGCTACTCAGGAGGCTGAGGCAGGAGAATTGCCTGAACCCAGGAGGCGGAGGTTGCAGTGAGCCGAGATCGCGCCATTGCACTCCAGCCTGGGTAACATGAGTGAAACTCCGTCTCAAAAAAAAAAAAAAAAAAAAAAAAAGATAAATTTTCTTTGTGGGTGCAGTGGCTCACACGTGTAATCAAAGCGTTTTGGGAGGCGAAGGTGGGAGGATCACTTGAAGCCAGGAGTTTGAGACCAGCCTGGGAAACATCATGAAACTGTCACTACAAAACAATTTTTAAAATTTACTTGGGTGTGATGGCAGACTCAGACTCAGGAGGCTGAGGTGGGAGGATCACTTGAGCCCAGGAGTTTGAGGCTACAGTTAGCTATGTTCACACCACTGCCCTCCAACCTAGGTGACAAAGGAAGACTCTGTCTCTAAAAAGCAAAACTCACAAACTCTTCTTTAAAAATGTTGAAAAACCATGATGAGTTAATTAAGGTCCTAATAGTACATGATATCCAGTAAATATATTAGTAATTATAGTACTAAAGTATTGGGTAATTAAAAATTAATTCCTAAATCATAATCCTAAACTCTGATTTATTAAAGCTAACTTTTATTTTTCCTGTAGAAAATGGACTCTCTCTGATTTTGTTTGGTTTGACTCAGGAAGAATTTATTAACAGACTCATGATCCATGGAAGTGCCAGCACTGTGGACACTCTTTGTCATCTCAATGGCTGGGGGAGATGCTCAATTCCCATACATGCATTAGAGGTAACAGAAGTAAATGTCCGTAGAACATTACTTAATTATTTTGTGTCACATACTTTTTTTTTTTTTTTTGGGATAGAGTCTCGCTCCATCGCCCAGGTTCGAGTACAGTGGCACAATCTCAGCTCGCTACAACCTCCACCTCCCAGATTCAAGCGATTCTCCCACTTTAGCCTCCCCAGTAGCTGGAACTATAGGCATGCACCACCACAACTGGCTAATTTTTGTATTTTTTGGTAAAGGCAGGGCTTCACCAAGTTGGCCATGGCTGGTCTCAAACTGCTAATTTCAAGTGATCCACCCGCTGTGTCCCAGAGTGCTGGGATTACAGGAGTGAGCCACTATGCCTGGCCTGCTTCCTACTATTCTAATCCAACTTCAGAAGAGACATAACCTGAGCTTGTGTAGTATTTTATAATTCACAAATACTCTTTTACATGCAGTATCTAATTTTGTCCGAAAATAATCACGAGACAGATTGGATAGTTAAGATTCTTTTTATTTTACAGATGAAGAAACAGGCTCACAGTGATTGAATGAATGACCCAGAGCCATATTAATGAAAACAGGAGAAGGGCACCTTCTGCTATACCACACAGTTTCTGAAGTTAATAATGTTACGTGCCAGTTTCTTTAAATGACAGCTTTATTGAGATAAAAATCACATACCTATAAAATTCACCCTTTTAACATGTACAACTTAATGGCTTTTAGTATATCCAGGGTTGTGCAGCCATTACTACTGATTCTAGAACATTTTCATCACCTCAAAAAGAAACTCCATAACCATTAGTGGCCACTCTCTATTCCCTGTTGTTTCCAAGTCTTAAACACCAATCTACTTTTTTTTTTTTTAAGGCTAGTCAAGTGAAGCAGTGGGAGTGGAGAAGGAACAAAGAAATCTGTAACTGGTTGTGGTCAATTAGTTGTAAACACCACTGCACTCGGGCCGGCCTGATCTACTTTTTGACTGGATTTTTCTATTCTGGACATTTCATGTAAATGGGATTATAAAATATGTGACTTTCGTGACTGGCATCTTTGACCTAACGTGTTCAGAGTTCATGTTGTAGCATGTGTCACTACAACGTTATTCCTTTTTATGGCTGAATATTCCATTATATCAATATAAACTTTGTTTTGTTTATCTGGTCGTCAGCTGATGGACATTTGGGTTGTCTCTACTTTTTGGCCATTATGAGTAATCCTGCTATGGACATTTGCAAACAAATTTTTGTATTGACATATGTTTTCATTTCTCTTGGGAATATACTAACTGTGGAATTACTGGGTCATTTATTATTTTTGTGAAATCCCCAAACTCTTCCACAGTGACTGCACAATTTTACATTCCCATCAGCAATGTATGAGGGTTCTGCTAGCTGCACATCTTAGCAGACTTGTTAATTGTCTATGTTTTTTATTACAGCCATCCTAGTCAGTGTGAAGTCAAAATGAAATGGCATCCCATTGTGGTTTTGATTTGTATTTTCCTAATGACTAAACATGTTGAAAATGTTTTCATATGCTTATTGACTATTTGTGTATCTTCTTTGGAGAAATGTGTGTTTAATTACTTTGCCCCTTTTAAAATTAGGTTTTTTATTGAGTTCTAAGAGTTCTTTATGTATTCTGGATGCTAGACCTTTATGACATACATGATTTATAAATATTTTCTCTCATTCTTTGGGTTGTTACTTCACCTTCTTTTTAAAATTTTTTTTAACTTTTGTTTTAGGATCAGGGGTACATTGCAGATTTGTTACATAGGTAAATTGCATATCATGGGGGTTTGGTGTGCATATTATTCCATCACTCAGGTAATAAGCATAGTACCTGGTAAGTAGTTTTCAATTCTCACCTTCCTCCTACCCTCCACCCTCAAGTAAGCCCCAGTGTCTGTTTTTGTTTTGTTTTTGTTCATGTGTACTGTGTTCAGCTCCCATTTATAAGCGAGAACATGCAGTATCTGGTTTTCTGTTCCTGCATTAGTTCACTTAGAATAATGGCCTCTAGCTCCATCCACGTTGCTGCAAAGTACATGACCTCAGTCTTTTTTTATGGCTGCATAGTATTCCATGGTGTATATGTATCACAAGTTCTTTATCCAGTTGATATGGTTTGACTCTGTGTCCTCACCCAGATCTCATCTTGAATTATAATCTGATGGTTTAAAAGTGGCAGTTTTCCTCTGTGCTTTGTCTCCTGCCACCATGTAAGACATGCCTTGCTTCCCCTTCACCTTGTGCCATGATTGTTAGTTTCCTGAGGCCTCCCAGCCATGTAGAACTGTGCATCAATTAAACCTCCCTTCTTTATCAATTACCCAGTCTCAGGTAGTATCTTTATAGCAGTGTGAGAACAGACTAATACACCAGTCTGCCAGCCTAAATGCCAGTCATGTGCATTTAGGTTGATTCCATGTCTTTGCCATTGTCAATAGTGTTGTGAGGAACATACGTGTGCATGTATCTTTATGGTAGAATGATTTATATTCCTTTGGCTACATACCCAACAATGGGATTGCTGGGTTGAATGGTAGTTCTGCTTTAAGTCCTTTGAGAAATCACCAAACTGCTTTTCATAATGACTGAGCTAATTTACATTCCCACCAGCAGTGTGTAAGCATTCCTTTTCTCTGCAAGCTCGCTAGTACCTGTTATTTATTGACTTTTTAATAATAGCCATTCTGACTGGTGTGAGATGGTATCTCATTGTGCTTTTGATTTGCGTTTCTCTTATGATTAGTGATATTGAACATTTTTTCATATGCTTGTTGGCCATGTGTATGTCTTCTTTTGAAAAGCATCTGTTCATGACCTTTGCCCACTTTTGAATGAGGTTGTTTTTTGTTAAATTGTTTAAGTTCCTTATAGATTCTGGGTATTAGACCTTTGTCAGATGCATGGTTTACAAATATTTTCTCTTATTCTGTAGGTTGTCTGTTTATTTTATTGATAGTTTATTTTGCTGTGCAGAAACTCTTTAAGTCCCATTTGTCAATTTTTGTTTTTTGTTGCAGTTGCTTTTGGCATCTTTGTCATGAAATCTTTGCCAGGGCCTATGTCCATAATGGTATTTTCTAGGTTATCTTCCGGGTTTGTTTTTTTTTTGTTTGTTTGTTTGTTTGTTTGTTTTTGAGACGGAGTTTCGCTCTTGTTACCCAGGCTGGAGTGCAATGGCGCGATCTCGGCTCACCGCAACCTCCGCCTCCTGGGTTCAGGCAATTCTCCTGCCTCAGCCTCCTGAGTAGCTGGGACTACAGGCACGCGCCACCATGCCCAGCTAATTTTTTGTAGTTTTAGTAGAGACGGGGTTTCACCATGTTGACCAGGATGGTCTTGATCTCTTGACCTCGTGATCCACCCGCCTCGACCTCCCAAAGTGCTGGGATTACAGGCTTGAGCCACCGCGCCCGGCCTTGTCTTCCGGGTTTTTATAGTTTTAGGTTTTATGTTTAAGTCTTTAATCAAACTGGAGTTGATTTTTGTATATGGTATAAGAAAGGGGTTCAGTTTCAATCATCTGCATATGGCTAGCTAGTTATGCCAGCACATTTATTGAATAGGGAGTTCTTTGCCCATTGTTTGTTTTTGTCAACTGTGTTGAAAACCAGATGATTATAGGTCTGTGGCTTTATTTCTGGGCTCTCTGTTCTGTTCCATTGGTCTTTGTGTCTGCTTTTGTACCAGTACCATGCTGTTTTTGTTACTGTAGCCTTGTAGTATAGATTGAAGTCAGGTAATGTGAAGTCTCCAGCTACACTTGATCTTAGCCAAAAGACTGAGAGAAGCAATGATGTCTCCAGCTTCATTCTTTTTGCATAGGATTGCTTTGGTTATTTGGGATCTTTTTTGGTTCCATATGATTTTTAAAATAGTTTTTTCTAATTCTGTGAAGAATGTCACTGGTAGTTTGATAGGAATAGCATCGAATATGTAAATTGCTTTGGGCAGTGTGACCATTAACAATATTTATTCTTCCTATCCATGAACATGGGATGTTTTTCCACTTGCTGTGTCATCTCTGAGTTCTTTCAGCCTTGTTTTGTAATTCTCATCATAGAGATCTTTCACCTCTCTGGTTAACTGTATTTCTAGGTATTTTATTCTTTCTTTGGCTTTTGTGAATGGGATTGCATTCTTTATTGGAGCTCTCAGCTTGGACACTGTTGGTGTATAGAAGTGCTGCTGATTTTTTTTTTTTTTTCATTGATTTTGTATCATGAAACTTTGCTAAAGTTGTTTATCAGATCTAGAAGCTTTTAAGCAGAGACTATTGGGTTTTCTAGGTATAGAATCATGTCAGCTGCAAACAGAGTTTTACTTCCTCTCTTCCTATTTGGATGCCTTTTCTTTACTTTCCTTTCCTGGTTGTTCTGGCTAGGACATCCAGTACTATGTTGAGTAGGAGTGGTGAGAGTGGACATTTTTGTCTTGTTATGGTTCTCTGGGAAATGCTTCCAGTTTTAGCCCATTCAGTGTGTTGTTGGCTGTGGGTTTTTCATAAATGGCTCTTGATATTTTGAGGTGTGTTTCCTCAATGCCTAGTTTGTTGAAGGGAGGATTACTTGAGGAGCAAGCAGTGGTTTTTTGTTCTTCTGTTTATGTGACAAACCACACTTATTGATTGCATATGTTGAGCCAGTCTTGCATCCCAGGGATAAAGCTTACTTAATTCTGGTGGTTTTTCTTTTTTTTTTTTGAGATGGAATCTCGGTCTGTCACCAGGCTGGAGTGCAGTGGTGTGATCTTGGCTCACTGGAACCCCTGCCTCCCAGGTTCAAATGATTCTCCTGCTTCAGCCTCCCCGTTAGCTGGGACTACAGGCATGTGCCATCACTTGCAGCTAATTTTTGTATTTTTAGTAGAGACAGGGTTTCACCATGTTGGCCAGGCTGGTCTCGATCTCTTGACCTCATGATCCGCCTGCCTCAACCTCCCAAAGTGCTGGGATTACAGGCATGAGCCACCATGCCTGGCCAGATTAGCTTTTTGATGTGC